GTGGTGACCGTCATAGAGTCATAGACCCCGGGAGTACCGAACTTTCACCTCCGTGTGTTTTGATATCTAAATAGCAGCCATGCGCACTCTTGAAGCAGTTTGGTTCCAGCCGCATTTTTCCAGCCTAGCCTCATCATGTCGTGGAAATCTTGGGACCAATGGCAGCCTTCTCGAGATTGGGATCGTTCGCAATGGCAATCAGGGGGTTGGAACATGCAAGATAGTTCGTGGAGTTCGACCCCAACTAAGTCCAATGTCCATCGTGAGCCTGGTCGAGACTTCAGTTCCCCTACAGGCTTCCCAGTGATTCATGGGCTACCTGATGACTTCAAGAGTACCAAAACTCATCTTGACAGTCGGGAAGTGTATGGTAAGACCATGTTACGCCGAATTGCTCCAACATCTTGGTCTACCAAATACCAGTTGGCCGGAAAAGAGATGGACAGCATTCGACTTGTAGATCTGCTTTGGCGAGGTTGGAACAACTATCACTTGAGAGCGCTTTCGCATGGCCAGTATGTTTCACTCGTTGTTGCGCGAAAGGTCAACGAACGTGTTTTTTCGTCTAGCATTCTCACCCATTTGCGAGAGAATAAGTGGGACATAGATGAGTTGTCCACTCAGTTTGCTCGTTTGCACCCTGAAGCTTGCCCCAATGCTTCCTCAAACTCTGATGAGCACAAAGCCATCAAGGCCCAAGCGTTAGCCAAGTTTCTTGTGCAGCAGCTCCAACAATTTGTTGTCTCTTCAAACAGTCAGCCCAGCGATCTTCAGAAGATTGCCCAACTGGAAGAACAGCTCCAGATGGAGAAAGCTAAGAACGCCAAGCGAGGTTTGGAAGAGCCCGAACCATCTCCTTCCGAGAAGCGTGTCCGTTTGAAGCAGAAGACCGCTTTGCCAATTGTTTCTTCGTCAGCTCCACAATTTGATCCTGCAGTCATTGCTCGACAAGCTGTTGACCCTTCCAACATCCCCAAAGATCGTGTTTTTGCCCAGGCCAGCCTTTCCTCAGTTACCAAGACAGCCATTGAAAAATGGCTCAAGAGCCTCAAAGGCAAAGACAAAGGCAAGGCCGAACAGTTGGATGCCGCGATTTCGTTTGCAGACAAGATCAGCAACACGATTGATGCTGCTACGTTTCAAGCACTTCGTGACAAGTGTGCTCAGTTGGGACTGCCTGTCAGTCTCGCTGTAAAGATCAAAGCGCCTGAGCTCATTCGCATCTTGACAGCTGCGACTTTCGTAGCAGAGATCTGACTAGGCGTCATTTCGTGCCAAGAGTCCTGCGACTGGAACATTTTGAGACTTCTCCTTTCGGCCTTAGCCGTTATTCATGCTTGCTGTTTCCATTCTGATGAGCTTATAGGATTCAGATTTTGTACTCGTGTTCTACAAGTCTTCTTGTGTGCAACGGCACTACATTCGCATCCTGGAGTTTCGTGCACCATTCGCACCTGGAGAAGAAGGACCAGTCATTTTGTTGGTAAGACCTTGGTACAGATTGCAGACATGATGTCAACTCCATGTTCCACCTACGTAGTGGTTCTACCTGCACTTCAGCGCAGACAGTGGACAAAAACCGGAAGCCTGCTTGATGCGAAGAAGTTTTATGTGGGATCCACCACTAAAACAGTTCATCAACGACATGATGCTCGTATTCGCAAGCTCCGACTTCTACAACAAGGACAGTTTACTAACACGGAAATCATGGTTCACTACTTTCACAACCATGCCGACCTGTTTGACACCGTCATCTTGCCGCTAGGAACATTTCCTGACAAAGTATCTGTTCGGGCTGCTGAATGTAAGTATCTGTTCGGGCTGCTGAATGTACTCTCATACATTCCTGGAAACCTGGCCTTAACATGCCTTGGGTCGCTAATCTCAACCCAACCTCTTCAACCCGTACGTCGCAGCAGACCTTGTCCAATAGTCAATACAGTTGTCCTGGAAAACGCTTATGGAGGAAGGCACGCAGACGACTTCGCACATTGGGTAATTATTCTTCGTTGTTATTCCAGTCAGGCTCTCTGTCCTCAAGAGAATTGGGCCCTTTTGGTCAAATTAGCCCACGGAGGTATGTCAGCGTTCAACACGGAACGAAGATTGAGAAGCTCCGAGTTTCACGCCGCTCACCTGTATGCCCTGTACCGTATGTGCAATCTATTGGATGATCCCCCTCGCACTGCTGTAAAAGCTACCCTACACAGTTGCCTCACTTTTCGCAATCTAGCTGTCCCAAAGTTTGGCAAACCCCTCACGATCCCCATGCTTGCCAACATGGATACAGAGCCTTATTCATCAGTACAAGGACTACCTCATCCCTTTTCACTTACCCAGCAAAACAGTGATTGCAGGTACTTTTCCGTCCTTTCGATCTGTGCTTTACAACAATATCATTCTACAACAACAATGGGATTGGGACCATCCTCCTGTATGTCATTGTGAACAATGGAAGCAACAACATCCTCAATTGCGAGTTGTAGATGGACACGTTGCATCCCCGGCTCATCTTCTTGCAGTGTCACGCCGAATACAGAATATCCTGCAACATTCTGCTGATTCCCAGGTATACCCTAAACGACAATTTTATATTGATCACACCTGGAAAGCCGTACAACAGTGGCTACGACATTATGGACTCTTCGATGTCACCAAAGACAATTGGGCTGCGCTTGTACAGTCACAATGGAATGATCATTCGCTGGAGTCCCGGGACGCCCTCAAATTCAAGGATGTAACCTTTCTTCTTAAAATCCTAGATGGATTCTTCATTCATGGCCGAGATCATGCAGTTGCCCATGTTCATGTATTTTGTCCTCTTTTTGTGTGGCGAGTCTACAGAAAGACTTTTGGAGACCCTGAAGTATATGAACGACTCCCCCTTACGTATTCTCAAGCCTCTGTGTTCTTGAAGATGACCACGCGTAAGGCTCTCCTGACTAGATACAAATGGGGTTTCAGAGCCAGTGAACCTTCCATACCGATTGCATATATCCTCCTCAAGCAGAAGAAGTCTTTTCAAGCTGCGAGGCCCATTATCAGCTACAAGTATTTCCTGTACGCGCGATTGTTCAAAGCTACTGCCATCGTTATCGATCTTCTAGTTCGTGACGTATGTCCTGACTCATTTGGATTGGACACCTTACCAGTCATGCTTCAGAAGCTTTCTGCATTCCTACATCAAGCGCCAGAAGACTTCGAGGCATTGAGTTTTAATCAAGACTTGGTTGGGTTTTTCACGAGCATTCCCGTAGATCGGATTTTGCAGTCTATTGATGCCATCATCAGTCGGTATTGTTATCGTCACGCATTACAATTGGCTGATGTTGTGTTCTCCGTGCTCCTCAAGGAGAAAGATGTAAACCTCCGAATCTGGAGAGGCAGACCGCGAAAAGCAGCCCAAAGACCTTATCTGATACATCTACAAGATGTCCGAGCTATTTGTCATCTCAGTTGCGAGTGCAGTGTGTTCTCCGTGATGCAGTGTATTTTTCGACAGCGCCGCGGAGCAACCATAGGAAACCAGATTTCCCCTATGCTGGCCAACGCTACAGTGTCATTGGAAGAACAGCGGTTTGTGGAACTACATAGAGCTGATCTTCAAAGAATCGGAGCTGATCTCTTTTGTACCCGTTATGTAGACAATCGTCTTGTCATTTTGGATGTCAAGCATGAACATCGAGCCTTCTTGAAGCAATTCCTGTCGAACGACTTTTATGCCCGTCCTGTTGAACTAGAACATGTACATTCCCAAGATGCCGAGCAAGAATTCCTGGGGTTTGATGTGATCCCCCAACAGTCCAAGATCCTCCTTCTTCTTCGAGATGAACCTTGGAAGATTCGACTTCACAATAGTGCCGGTAGTTCCTCCCAAAAACTGGCATCGTATCACTCCAAAAGACACAGCATTCTCCGGCATGTACAGCCACCAGAAATGAGAGTTCAACAACTTGAACAGTTGGAGCAGTTGTTCTTGCAAGCAGGCTTCTCTAGAGCCTCGTTAGGAGACTCATGATGTTTCACCTCAGCAGATTTTGGCCATACAGAAAACTCTCAACGTTTCATGCCTGCCGTGTAGCATCGCAGTGGCGTATCTTATTGGTAGCGATATTGACACCATCGATCAAAGACTGAGTAAGCTGGAGCCTTGGTGCAGTGTGTTCGCTTTCTTAGTCGACTAAAACGCTTTGAAGGGAGCGTTAGAAGTTGACCTTTAAATCTTACAGATAAGAACAGGACTGAATTCACCCTGAGCTTCCGGCTGAATTCACCCTGAGCTTTCTTCTGAGCTCACCTTGCGCTATCAGAACATGTCGTAAGATATCTACGTAGTATTGTTTGTCACATGAATTCAGCTTCGCTGCCTGGTTCATAGAGATCTTCGATCTATGAACTTCTCAACCGCCCCGCCTCCCCCCCCCTTCCTTCTCCATCCTCAACATCAAAATAACAACACACAACCGGCTTCGACCGGGTACGTGTGTGTGGACCATCTGTATCTAAGATGTGAAGTTATGGCTGAACACTCATTGATCCTCCTGAAAGCTGTGCATTGATTCGTCGCACTGAAGTGATCTGATTTATCTGATTCCCCAAAAGAAAGCCGAGATGTTATGTCAAGCAGGGGGGTGCTGGAGAGATTTGCAGTCAGCACCCAATGAAGACGCTGCATATCTCTTGTGATACCATTGCAGACGTGCAATGGCGTACCTGCGAACTTCGAGGAATTTTCCCAACCAGCTTCGACTGGGTATGTGTGTGTGTGTGTAAGCGTGTAAGCGTGTAACAGTAAGAGAGAGAGAGAGAGAGTGCGCGCGCGCACATGTGTGTGTGTGTGTGTTTGGAAGTGTGTAAGTGTGTAAGTGTGCAAGTGTGCAAGTGTGCAAGTGTGTGCCCCAAACCCCAAACCCCAAACCCCAAACCCCAAACCCCAAACCCCAACCCCAAACCCCTAAACCCTTTTCATTCTCCATTGTGCTTGGGGGACAGCTGAGGCGATGAGGGAGAAGGTGGAGAAGTATGTGCTCAAGGCCACCAAGGCTCACGTCCGGCTTAGGGGTGTGGGCTTCATAGAGGGTTCATAGAGGGGTAGGGTTTAGGGTTTAGGTTTTAGGGTTTAGGGTCTAGGGTCTAGGGTTTAGGGATGTTTAGGGTTAGGGTTTAGGGTTTAGGGTTTAGGGTTTAGGGTTTAGGGTTTAGGGTTTAGGGTTTAGGGTTTAGGGTTTAGGGTTTAGGGTTTAGGGTTTAGGGTTTAGTTTTAGGGTTTAGGGTTAGAGGGTAGAGGGTTCATAGAGGGTTCATAGAGCGTTCATAGACGGTTCATAGAGGGTTCATAGAGGGTTCATAGGGTTTAGGGGTTAGGGTTTGGGTTTAGGGGAGGGTTGAGGGCTCAGGCTGCAGCATTTTTTGTGTTTCTTGGTCGCCCAGTGGAACCATTTTTTCCCTTTTTGTGGGGTTCAAGATTCCCTTATACAGTAGCCAGCCCCAGAAAAGGTACCCTTATCATAATCTGGTTGCTGGGCGGCCAGGTGTATGGGGCGTATAGAGTTTGTAGTGTTTACAGGGCGCCGGGGGCTTATAATGGATTGCAAAGGGCAAAGGCTTTATGTTTTTTTTTTAATAATAGTGTGTTCACAGGATTTCAAGGTTTGAGGGGTCAGTTTCTCCAAAGAGCTCTCCAAGCAAAGGGAAGACTCCGTAATTCATACTCCCTACCATGATGCTGATGTAGGGGATACTTCATGAGGGGTTTTGGAATGTAAGGACTATTCCTACCCCCTAACCCTAAACCCTAAACCCTAAACCCTCCTAGTCCCCTACACCTGGGGTGTCGGGTTTAGGGTTTAGGACCCTAAACCCTAAACTTTAAACCCTAAACGCTAAACCCTAAACCCTAAACCCTAAACCTTAAACCTTAAACCCTAAACCCTAAACGTTTAGGGCACTTCTCGGCGGGCAGGCTCTCAGGCCCCAAGTCCTACCATCTGCATTCCAGCAGCTGAACGCCGAGACGAAGGAGGTCATGGAGAGGACCCTCGGGTTTAGGGTTTAGGGTTTGGGGTTTGGGGTTTAGGGTTTAGGGCTTAGGGTCTAGGGCTTAAGTCGTAGGATTTCCAGAGTTGAGGAAGATTTTCGGCTTAGGGGTTTAAGGGGGGAAAGTTTGTGTCTCAGGGTTTTGGGTTCCAGGTTTGGGGCTAAGGGGGGCTGGGGCTGGGGGGTTCGGGCTTCGGTAGACGGAGGTAGGGCTAGGAGTCTGGCGGTGTGGTGTTTATAGGGTCTGGGGCTTAGGGTTTATAGGGTTTAGGGCATGCAGGTGCGGGCGAATGAGGGCGGCGGGTTGAGATTGAGGGGCTCGGGGGTGACGATGTCCGACACTTTAAAACTCTCAACCCTCATGAAGACTACAACAAGGAAGGGCACCCCTTTTTTGGCGTACGGGGAAGCACGACTGTACCCGCAGGTTGGGTGCGGCGCATTCCCATCCTAACTGGCTTGGCCTTCCGAGATGGTCGGGCTTCGGGGTTTCTTGGAGGTTTGGGGCTTGGGAAGTACGGCTTTTCGGGAGCTTCTATACAGCCCCCCCTTAGCCCCCCTTATGAATTGTACTCTTATAAGATTAAACATCAACAGCAAGGTTCTAAGGGAGTTTGGGCTGAAAGCCCTAAACTTTGTAGTTTTATTCTTAGTTGCCCTCTCCTCCACCCCCCTCCCCCACATACACCTAACGTTCTTCAAGGACCGCTGAGCACGTGGCGAACAAAGGGTATTTCAACGCGATCATAGCGGCCGCTTCGTAGAATTCATGTCTTCCCGAATCTTAGTTCCTCGGTTCAGGGTTTATAAGGCAATTGTTCTTGTAAACGTCGATGAGTAGAGGAGGCAACCATTGGCCTTGTTTTTGGGCCGCCGTAAGCAAAACCTTCAGACCCTTTTGGCCCCAAGCCCTTGAACCTCTAAACCCTTAAACCACGGATGTACTTGAAGGTACCGAAAACTGTCCAGAGCTTTGACACCCTCAACCCTAAACCCTAGTTAAACCCTAAACCCTAGACCCTAGACCCTAAACCCTTAACCCTTGTTTAGGGTTTAGGGCTTAGGCCTGGAACCCTTAGTTTCACGGGATGAAGACTCGCCGTACCCCTAAGGTTGTACCCCGAAAGGTTCCCCTTCAGATACTCCGAAGAAGGCCCATCGATTCCCCTAGGGATCCTTGAAAAGGGACCGCAAAACCCAAGGGTACAAATTTCAGGGTCCAAGGTATCCTACACCCTAAACTCTAAAGCCTGAACCCTGAACAAGGTAGAACCCCTAGATAGTTGTCGTTCTCAGGTGGTGCTTTGTGTCAACACCGTGGTCATTGGTATCGAAACCGACTATTCCCGCGGCAGAGCACTGGAGGAGCGGTGGACAACCCTAATCAGCAATGCCTAGGCCCTACTACCTCTAAAGCCCCAAAATATGTAGAATAATGGCGGCTGTAAGGGTTTTGGGCCATTTTTTACATACTTTGGGGGGTCCAGGTATACACCCTGAACCAAACCAGAACCCTAAACCCGAAACCCTAAACCCTAAACCCTAGACCTTTGTGAAAACCTTAAACCCGAAACCCTTATCCCTCAGCTTTGACGGGCTTAGGGTTCTGAGGCTATGCATCCCCACGCCCCACCCGGCAATGCTTTGGACTTAATGTAGGGTGGAGCCATTTTGGGCGGTACCTAAACCCTAAACCCTAAACCCTAAACCCTAAACCCTAAACCCTAAACCCTAAACCCAGGGGGTGAGCCTTAAACCTTGGGCTTTTGATGAATGTACACATATTTCAGACTCGTCTCCATGAATTGCCCACAAGCATCCTCGTCTTGTCGTCCCGCAGCAAAACCCCAATCAACCCTGAACGCCAAACCCTGAACCCTGAACCCTAAACCGTACCCTAAACCCTAACCCTAAACCCTAACCCTAAACCCTAGACCCTAAACACTGAACCCTAAACCCTAACCCAAAACCCTAAATGATCTTATGTTGAGGATGGGACGGCACTCTGCAGGTGCGGGTTCGCGATGGATCTCTTACGCACGTCGATCCGGGTGTAAGCCACGACTCTAGCCAAAAACCCTAAACCCGAAACCCCAAAAAGTGTGAGTTAATGGCCATGTGTATGGGTTTTTTTCGGCCTATGTTTGTTTACGTATTTTGGGAGTCCAGGTAAACCCGAAACCCCAAGCCCAGTTCCCTGACTTGTGAACTTGTTTTGAAAGTGGCAGCCCAGACATGCGCAAGGTTTCGCCTCACTCCTGAAGAACCCTGACCCCTGAAGCCTAGGCCCACAACCCCTAAACCCCCTAATCTCCTAAAAGCCTTAAACAACAAACCCGAAGTTCGAAGCCCTCAGCCCGAAACCCAACCCGTGCAGTTCCTGCTCCGAAGCAGAAAACTTGAAGGACCGCCTGCCCTTCTTCGTCCTAGAAACCTTGCGCTTCGGCATTCTTGCGATGCTGAGGGTTTTAGGGGCGTAGGGTTTAGGGTTCAGGGTTCAGGGTTTAGGGTTTAGGGTTTAGAGTTTAGGGTTTAGGGTTTAGGGTTTATGGTTTAGGGTTACGGTCTAGGGTTTAGGGCTTACAGGGTGCAGGAGACCTTCACGTCGTTTAGGGGAAAAACGCTCTGACCGCTTAGGGGCTCAGGGCGGGTGCAGGTGCTTAGAGTTGACCCGGATACAGGGAGGGGCCCCCTTACTATACTAACTGTATCTAACTGTAGTTAAGGGACTCATAACCTAAACCCTAAACCCTAAAAACCTTAAGGCCTTATAACCCAATTTAGGGCTCTGATAACTCTACTTATAACTAGGAATCCCCACCTTGCAGGAGTGTGGATGATGAGGGCTCAAGGGTTTCACCCTATGAATCTCAGATCTTTGTTTTTGAATATGGCCCTGGCTGTTTCCCACAATAGGAATGAAACCCTTTTATGCCCAAAATAGGAAAATATCGGGTGCCCCTATGTTCGGAAGCACTCATATAGTTTATGAGGTGAATGAACTGTTTCACAAGATCTGTGAGGGTGCCACGCGTGACTTCACGAGCTCAAAGGTAAACGTCAGGTACGAAATCTACCAAGTTGCCAGGGTTAGGGTTTAGGGTTGAGGGTTTGGGGTTTGGGGTTTGGGGTTTGGGGTTTAGGGTTTAGGGTTTAGGGTTTAGGGTTTGGGGTTTAGGGTTTAGGGTTTAGGGTTTAGGGTTTAGGTCCAGGTTTTTTCGGGTTGGGCCCGGTGCTTGACCTTTGTTCCTTCATGCCTGAGTTCCTGCAAGAAAGGCAGATACAGCGCATTAGAAGTTTGAAGGTTGTTTAACGCATGAAAAGCACACTACAGCTATGACGGAACCGAACCTTAGCTTAAGAGGTGACATGACTGAAGGCTTCGCAAGGGCTTCCAAAAACTGACACCTGTCAAAAAACAAGAAGTTCTCATGCTGCAAAACAAGTTCATAGAAAACCCTAAACCCTAAACCCCAAGCCCTAAACCCTAAACCCTAAACCCCAAACCCCAAACCCCAAACCCTAAACCCTAAACCCTAGCCCTAAACCCCTAAACCCTAAACCTGACAGAAACGAAGCCCTACTTGAGGCGGACCCTTAAGGGCCCCATGGTGTCTAAATAGGGAATACCTTGGGCCTTACCAGGATGGCCTATTAGGGTTCAGGGTTCAGGGTTTAGGGTTTAGGGTTTAGGGCTTAGGGTTGTGTTCATTATAGGGATTATAGAGCCTTATAGCCCATCGTGGTAAAGTACTTGCTTGGCAGTATAACATGGTGAGGTGCGTGGACCCTTCGGGTTGCTTTTGTGTCGCCGCAACTTCCGCGGTTCCGCGTGTTTTTGTCCTGTGTGTCCATTAGGCAATGAACTTGTGGAATAGTAGCTGTGAGAAGAGAGAGAGAGGGGATGAATAACAAACACAGAGAAATTTAAAAAGAAATTTCAAGAAAGAAAGAAGGAAAGAGTAAAGACATGAGGTTGCAACAGCGGATAGAAATAGCGTCATGTAGCCTTATCTTCATGGGGTTAAACAAAAGCCATAACGAGTACCTCCAGCAGCAACTTGACGTCAAGCAGCCACCATCAATCAGCCTTCAGGCTGGTGCCACTTCTGAAATTTCGGGTTCAGTGCGTCCCGAATTTTTAGAAACCCAAGCCTACACTGGACACGTGTGGGAGTCTGAGAGAGCCAACAAAAAGAAGTTAAGGTAGGGTTTAGGGTCTATAGGGCATTCTGACCCGAAACCCGAGCCTCTTAATAACTTCAAGCGTGTAGGGTTGGGTGTAGGGTTTAGGGTTTAGTTTTCAGGTTTAGGGATCTGGTTTGGGGTACCCTTTTATAAACCCGAAGCCTGCAGCCAAAAGGTTCACCGCCATCTTCATCGCTGAGGTGCTCGTGAGGCCAGGCTGGCCTTTGAAGCGAAGACTGGGGCTTAGGGTTTAGGGTTTAGGGCTCAAGGCTTATGGGGGGCTTTTACTATCGCTATTACTATTGTTACCAGTATTTCTATGAATATGACTATCACTATCACTATCACTAGTACTGTCACCATCAGTGTAGCTATTACTATTACTCTTACTATTACTATTACTGTTCCTATTACTATTGCCATTACTATTACGAGTATCATTACTATTACTATTATCATTACTATTACTATTACTATTACTATTACTATTACTATGACTATTACTATGACTATTACTATGACTATGACTATTACTATTACTATTTCTCTTACTCTTACTCTTACTTTTACTACTACTATTGCTATTACTGTTACTGTTGCTATTACTATTGCTATCACTATTCCTATTACTTTTCACTATTGCTATTACTATTATTATGACTATGACTATTTCTATTACTATTACTATTTCTATTGCTATTACTACTGTTGTTTTTATTACTATTACTATTACTATTACTATTACTATTACTGTTACGTTTGTTGCTTGTGTGTCCCCATAAGCCGCCCAAAAGGATGCACCATCTTGGCTGGGAGTATGCCATAGACCCCTGGCTCCTCGGATGGCACTGAGGTTCCGGGTTTAGGGTTTAGGGTTTAGGATTTAGGGTTTAGGGCTTAGGGCTAGGGTTAAGGGATTGGGGTGTAGGGTTTCGGGTTTTGGGTTTGGGGTTTCGGCAATCGCGTGCACCTGTCGATCTCCGAAGTTGCTTCGGACCAGAATGAAACCATCGTTCCCTAAACCCTAAACCCTACACCCTAAACCCTAAACCCTAAACCCTAAACCCTAAGCCCTAAGCCCTAAACCCTAAACCCTAAACCGAACCCGGTAGTCCTTAAGAAGTCTTGGTGGCCCAGTGGTACCCTTTTTCCTTTTGTTGGGGGGTTCAGGGTCCCCCTTATACAGCAACCAACCAACCTCAAATGGGGTACCCTTATTGTAAACCCTAAACCTAAACCCTAAACCCTAAACCCTAAACCCTAAACCCTAAACCCAGTTACCAAGAAGATTTGGTCTGAAGCAAGAACTCAAGGCAGCCTACCCCGCGATGATACCTACGCAGATACAGGTCCGCTTTCAATCCCGCTCCCCGCCATCGCCTAAACCCTAAACCCTAAACCCTAAACCCTAAACCCTAAACCCTAAACCCTAAACCCTAAACCCTAAACCCTAAACCCTAAACCCTAAACCCTAAACCCTAAACCCTAAACCCTAAAACCCTAAAACCCTAAACCCTAAACCCTAAACCCTGAACCCTCAACCCTAAACCCTAAACCCTTAGCCCGACACGCCGATATCCCAAGCGCACTACCATTGCCAAGGAATATCTTTGACTACTCGCTGGTGGCCGGGCGCTCGAGGGGGAGGGGCCCGAGTGGTTGGACTTTAAAGTTTCATCCCAAGCCCCGACTCGATACGTCATCTTGTTGATTCGTACAGCGGTTTAGGGTTTACGGTTTAGGGTTTAGGGTGCAGGGTTTAGGGTATTGCTCCGAAGCATTCCAATCGAAGTATTCTTTGGGGGATCGTCTCAGACCGGACACAACAGGACAACGTGCCACACAGCCTGCAAGACTAAACCCCAAACCCGAAGCCCCAACACCCAACACCCAAACCTTGAAACCCAACTCCTAAAAGCTTGAAACGGGAAGGTTGGCACTGAGCTTCGCAGTCCGAACCTTCGACGCCCGTGTTTACAGGGCCAAGCCCACGGAGACCTCTTTAAATGTCAGGTCTTTAGCTGGACTGACATGCTGGTCTCCGTCACGGAGGTCGAGTCTGGTGGTCTGCGACTAGCCGCTTGGTGACACGTGTAGGGCAGTTCCGGGGTGTGGTGCTTAGCCAAACCCGAAAACCCCAGACCCGAAATCCAACCAACATCAAAGCAACATCAGCTGCTGCACTGCTTAGATCGGAGCGACTTCAAGTTCAGGTCAACTATAAACCCTAAACCCTAAACCCCAATCCCTGAGCCTTCAACCTACACCTATCCCAATTCAAAACCCTAAAGGCCCAAAAGCCCTCAAACCCTGAAACCCTAGGCTCTAAACCCTAAAACCCTGAAAGCCCGAAAGCCCTCATACCCTAAAATGTAGACACTAAACCCTGAAACCCTCAACCCCAACTCTAAAAACCTAAGTCCGAACCCCTAAACCTATAACCTTAATCCCTTCCCCCTTGTATTAAACGTACCCCGAACTAGAAAAACATTTTCCGGAGCATCCTGCCGAAACCGACCACGCCTGTTAAACCCTATTCCGAATTTGGGGGGGGGGGGGTTCAGGGCCTCAAAAACCTTCAAGCCAATCTAAACCCTGTCCCAAAAGATTGCATGGATAAGAACATCCCCCTAATACTGAAAACGCATTTCGAGTTTTCATTGGGGGGAGGGGGGGGGGGAGAGGGGGGGGGGGGGGGGGCCGCCCGTTTAACAATAGGGGGAAGGGATTATAAACCTAAACCCTAAACCCTAAACCCTAAACCCCCCGTTTAACAATAGGGGGAAGGGATTATAAACCTAAACCCTAAACCCTAAACCCTAAACCCCAAGGAACCCCGAAACTCCACAGTCGCCAAAAAGGGAAGCTCAGAGGCCGCGTCGCTGCGACTCTTTCGGCTCCTGCGGGTCGTGCGGAGCATTCGGGGCGTTAAGCTCCTCTCAGGCGGCCGGCCTTCATTTGGAAGGGTTTAGGGTTTAGGGCTTATAAGCCCTAAACCCTATAGGGTTTAGGGTTTAGGGTTTAGGGTTTAGGGTTTAGGGTTTAGGGTTTAGGGTTTAGGGTTTAGGGTTTAGGGTTTAGGGTTTAGGGTTTAGGGTGGCGACCTGTTTCTCTCGTAGGGCATGAGGGAATGAGGTACCCTATACATCCCCTTAAAGGGTATATAGGGGGGGATATAGGGTTTAGGGTTAAGGGTACCTCATTTCCTCATTCCCTACTAGCCAACAGTATGTTCTCGCTGGTTAGAGCTTAGGGCTTGTTGTTTCTTTCAATGGTTTATGGTGTAGGGTTTCGGGGTTCAAGGCTTAGGGTTTGCGTACTTTACCTTGAAGGTCTAGAGCTTAGGATGTTTTTTGGGTTTATGGTTTGAGGGTTAAGGTTTAAGGTTTAGGGGAGGATCTTAGGTGGTTGTAAGTAATTAGTGTTGCACGTTCCCTGACCAAGATCAGAACCCAGAGCTAATACGTATAGCCCCAGCTCATATCTACTCATCCAAGTTGGGTGCACGGGTCCAGGGCTTAGGCAAACCCTAAACCCTAAACCCTAAACCCTAAACCCTAAACCCTAAACCCCATCAGAAGGGTTCTTAAGGGAGGGGGGGGGTTCATAGGGAGTCGGTACCTAGGGAACCTCAGAGAAGAGGAGTCTTATAGGGAACCTGGGTCTACGTACACCCCTTGAACCCCCCGTAAGAAGCTGATCATTAGGGCCACAGATCTTAGGTCTAGAAGCCTTGCAGGGAGAGCCTTGTGGAGTTGAGGGGTTTAGGGCATTTTAGGGCCAATGCTGGGTTAGGGTCGTGGACCGTTTTTTGGAGTGTAAGGTGGAACCCCTCAAGTTCCGGACGTTGGGCCTTAAGAAGCTTCATGCTTGGATGTTCATGCCCTAAACCCTAAACCTTAAACCCTAAATCCTGGCCCACAAGCAGCGGCACATGGTCAGTTCTCTCGTTGGGGGAAGGGTGATATTCGGACCTAAGCATGGACCGTCAGTTAGTGGCCTAAGCACTACGGGTCCCCAGGGTTTAGGGTTTAGGGTTTAGGGTTTAGAGTGTAGGGTTTAGGGTTTAGGGACTTGTTGCCCAAGTAGCGGCAAGTAGCGCTTGGCCGCACTCGCGGGCTCAACCCCTACTGGCCCCAGCCCGAAAGGGTAAGACCCAACCTAAATCCCGAAACTGCCAAGAGCACCACTGTCCATTTGCATGGGTGGTCGAGGCTTCGACCGAGGTCCCCAACCGAGCGTCTTCACAGAACAGTGAGGGAGGGCTGCCCGTACCTCACCTCACCAAGCCTGGTCGGGCCCGTCAAGCCACCCTCTCATGAAGCCCCCCCAAAAGAAGGGGACCCAGGCAAGGCCCCGACCCGCAATGAAAATGTTAAAATCGACGGTTTTTGGGCGCCCCTCATTTTACCACACGAAAGCCTCAAAAGCCCCACGAGCCACCAACGGGCTCCAGAACGCTTCAGGGCTTTTGGGACCCCGCCGCAGCAGGGGCACCTTTCCTCTTAGCATTCGGAAAGAAGTAAAAAGCAAGAAGGCCCCTTGAGGGGGATTTGGGGGCGTGAACCCTCAACCCTACATGAGAATAGTTTGGGTGGTTGGGGTGGGACTACATGCTAATGCAGCGGCTTCTCTTCTACACACCTAAACCCCAAACCCTAAACCCCGAAACCCCTCAACCCCTCAACCCCCAAACCCTAAACCCCGAAACCCCTGAACCCTAAACCCCTAAACCCCTAAAGCCCTAAACCCCTGAAACCCCCTAAACCCCTAAAGCCCTAAACCCCTAGAGCCCTAAACCCCCTAAGCCCCTAAAGCCCTAAACCCCCTATACCCCCTAAACCCCTAACCCCCTAAACCCAAGCTGCGGAAGGCCTCTGGCTGGTCATTCAGGGCCTCTTAGATTCCTACAAGACGGTCCTGTGGATAGGCCTGGTCAAGCTGTGGGGGGGTGGGAGGGGGGGGGGGGAGGGCGGGCGGTGGGAGGGGGAGGGGAGAGTTTAAGGTTTAGGGTTTAGGGATAGGGTTTCGGGTTTAGGGTTTAGAGGGCTTCGGGGTGTAGGGTTTAGGGTTTGAGGGTTTTAGGGTTTAGGGTTCAGGTTTTCATATTGAGGACTTTGATTTTAGGGTCGGAGGGTTGTAGGGCTGCGAGGCTTCCAGGGTTGATTTATAGGTGCCTACAAGATCAAGGTGTTTAGAGTGTGTGAAGTCCGATATCTGCCGTAGACCGCTTCAATTTTCGGATTGAGGTTTTAGGGTTTACTCTTCGGGTTTAGGGTTTTGGGGCCCCTACCTGGTCCCTCGACCCTAAATCCCGCCAAAAAGCACAATGGAATCTGAGCCCCACGTCGCTTGAGCCCCAAGACTCCTTAGCCTAACCATGAAGTCTTCAAGGAATCACGGGCCCTCAGTATGGTCCCTTGCCCAGTATGGCCCTTGTTATGCATAGTGTATATAAGGGTGCTGTAGCAAGGGACCCAAGATGAAGGGCCCATACTTGGGACTTTCAACATTCTACGGACCCCTACAATTTTTCAGGGGTTTAGGGTTTGGGGCCACTTTCTTCTTGTTTGCCAAAAGTGCCTTCTCTTCTTCTCAGGTTATACTGGCGCACCGAGGTCCTAAACCCTCAACGGAAGCTGCAGCCGCCACCCCAAACCCTAAACCCTAAATCCTAAACCCTAAACCCAAAACCCCGAAACCCTAAACCCTCTTTACTCCTCCCTGCAGCCTTCGCTGCGCCTCGGCTGATGCTGTGGTCAACCGTCGGCGAGACGCGCCAACTCTATCGGTAAACAAGGTTTAGGGTTTAGGGTCTAGGGTTTCGGGCTATCGGTAAACAAGGGTTTATGGTTTAGGGTCTAGGCTTTCGGGCTATCGGTAAACAAGGGTGTATGGTTTAGGGTCTAGGGTTTCGGGCTTGATCGGTCAGTGCTTATACCCCGGGGCCTAAGCGGGGACAGGCTGTTTTGGGTGGTTGGCTTTTGCTGGTTTTGGGGCAAGGGGGTTTGAAGATTTCAGGGCGGGGTCGGATTCTGAAGCCCAACCTTAAGCCCTAAACCCTAAACCCTGAACCCCCAAAAGGGGCCCTCTCGCCAGGGTTCAAGACTCAAGACTCAAGACACTTTAGGGCTTGCCCAAGTCTTATAGGGTCTAGGGCTTAGGGTTTAGGGTTCAGGGTTTAGGGTTTGGGGTTTAGGGTTTAGGGTTTGAAGTCGACGTCCCGAAGCGCCCCTCAGCCGGAGCTTCGAGCCCAGGTCCTTGTGGCAACTTGGGTTTAGGGTTTAGGGTTTAGGGTTTAGGGATTAGGGTTGCCCCTCAACCTCGGGATGTTCCCCCTTACACTAACAGCTCCTTAATGTGATAAGGATTTACGGTTTAGGGACTTTAGGGTTTAGGGTTCAGGGATTTGAGGGTTTAGGGTTTAGGGTTTAGGGATTTGAGGGTTTAGGGCTTAGGGTTTCGGGTTGTGTAATAGAGGGTGCTATAATCCCGACTAAGGAGCTGTTAGTATAAGGGGGAGCACCCCAACCTGAACGCCAAGAAAAGCAAGCTATCATGGAAGGGATACCCCCTCAGCTGCCCTAAGATTATGGGGGTAACCATTCTAAAGGGCCCGGAGTATTCAGGGCATGTACCCCAAGGAGGGACCATAACTTTGAGAAATGACCATGTACTCATTTTGAGGTATTTCTTTAAATGGATCCTGAACCTCAACTCCCGGCATATACTTGTCAGTTTTGGTTTAGGGTTTAGGGTTTAGGGCTTGGGGCTTGGGGCTTAGGGCTTAGGGCTTAGGGTTTAGGGTTTAGGGTTTAGGGTTTAGGGGTTCAGGGCTCAGAGCTTCGGGAACACCGAGGAATCGGCAACTTGTGGAAGACCTAGACCCTAAACCCTAAACCCTAAACCCTATAATCACCAAAGTAGCCAAGATGGCGATCTTTATCTTCTGCTTTGGGGCGGCACTCTGCGTTCTGGCGCCTGGGCTGGGAGGGGTTGGGGGATTTAGGGTTTAGGGTTTAGGGTTTAGGGTTTAGGGTTAGGGTTTAGGGTTTAGGGTTTAGGGTTTAGGGTTTAGGGTTTAGGGTTTAGGGTTTAGGGTTTAGGGTTTAGGGTTTAGGGTTTAGGGTCGGGTTTTTGGGTTTGATGGTTCAGGGAGAGATTGTTACCATTCATTTTTTGTTGAAGTACTGTGCGGCCATCATGTCTCGTGCATGTTAGTATTGCCGTGGAGGCTGCTCTGCATGCGTTTAGCCCTACTTGGAGGCTCATGGTACTTAGCAACCCAACGATAGCTGTACTTATGGCCCAATCATAGCCCGATTAGGGTACTTAAGGGCCTTATATGTGGGTTGTAACTACACGTAGAATGGGTTACTAAGTACCCTGAACCTCCAAGTAAACCCTAAACCCTTAACCCTTAACCCTAAACCCTAAGCCCTAAATAGGCCCAGGCCCAGAAGCCCCTTTACACGCTGATCCTGCCACCCTGTTAGCCGTGGTTTAGGGTTTAGGGTTTAGGGTTTAGGGGTTGAGGCTCCAAGCTTTCGGGTACGAACAAAATGGATGTTCGGGTTTTGGGTTCGGGGTTTGGTGATGCTGATTGTTGGTGAGTTTGCTTTCTGGCTTTAAGGCTCAAGTTTAGAGCACAGTGCCTGGGTGTTGCTTGTTCTTGCTGTCTAAAACCTAAACCCTCAACCCTCCGCACATGGTATCAGATTCAGTCCTAACACCAGAACTCTCAACTTGGGATTTATACTTTAGGGTTAGGATTCACGGAGATAATTCCTCAACTCTATGCCTTAAACCCTAAACCCTCACCCTAAACCCCACAACCCGTTGCCAAGGGTGGTCAAGACCGGTTCGCCTTTGAGTACTGGCGCTTTGGCCTGCAGCTGCGTCCCAGATCCTTCCAAAAGAGCTTAAGGGTTTGGGGTTTGGGGGTTTAGGGTTGAGGGTTTGGGGTTTTAGGATGGCCTAGTCCTTCTTCGAGGGTTGTGGGTGTAGTCTCCACCTGGTTAAGCAACAAGCGCACTCTCCTGCCCTTAGTAGCTGAGTGAGCACACTTTACACTTTTTGGGATACTATAATCCCCTCTACAACTGAAAGTGCACACCTTTTTTGAGGCTTATGAACTCAGCAACTACGTGCAAAATATTGAGGGTCTCAGGGCCTCAGGTCGTAATGTTCCGAGGGAGAAGCCCCTATATGCAGCAAGCCCTGTATGCCTCGAACCTTAAGCCCTAAACCCTGCAAGCCGTAAACCCTTTTCTTCCCAATACCGAAAGCCCTAAGCTCTGTAAACCCCAAGTCCCCAATTCCACTCTATGCAGCCTTAAGCCTTAATTTAAAAAACTCCAAGCTTCGTAAGCCCTAAAGCCTGTATGCCATAGCTACCCTAAACCCTAAACCCTAAACCCTAGTCCCTAAACCCTAAGCCCTAAACCCTAAGCCCTAAACCCTAAGCCCTAAACCCTAAACCCTACATCTGTAGCCTTGACCCTACAGACCCTCCAGCGCAGAATCACCTGAAGCCTTTCTCCAGGTACTTGGGGCACATGTACCTCGGCTCAGTGCTGCGCGCCATGTTCACCAGTCTACAGGCAGGGTTTAGGGTTTAGGGTTTAGGGTTTAGGGTTTAGGGTTTAGGGTTTAGGGTTTTGGGTTTTGGGTTTTGGGTTTAGGGTTTAGGGTCTAGGGTTTAGGGTTTAGGGTTGAGGGTTTAGGGTTTAGGGTTTAGGGTTTAGGGTTTTCAGGGTTGCGTGTTCCGGGCTCCCCTTACCTGTCTGTTCGGGTCAGGATGTCTGGTAAACCTATCTAACCCGAATTCCTAAGCCCTAAACCCTAAGCCCCAAACCCTAAACCCCAAACTCGCAACCCCTGAATCAAAAAGGGTCCCCCCCCCTTCTTTCGATTCAAGTAATGCGTATTCGGTTCAAGATTCAAGGTCCCCCCCCCCGCCCCCTGCACCATCCCAGCTTCTGTTTGCAGCTTTGGTTGGGTTCAGAGTTCAGGGCTCAGGGTTCAGGGTTCAGGGTTTAGGATTTAGGGTTTAGGGTTTGGGGCTGAGGGCTTAGGGTTTCGGGTTTATTAGCGCTTTTGTTGGGTACTTGGCGGCCTCCGAAGCTTCATGAGGACTTAAGGGTCTACAGGGCTTCAGAGTTTGAGGTTTAGGGTTTCGGGTTTAGTGTTTAGGGGGGGGGGGGGGGGCTTTAAGATGTTTCAAGGGTCTTTTACAGGGTTTTTTTCCGGAACCGGTTTTTTGACGGCCAAGTGGCCTTGTTCATGTGCAGAGCGCTTTTGAAAATCCCGCAATGAGGTCCCCCACCCCCACCGCGCCCTCCCCCAATGCCTTGTTCAGAGATTAGGTGAACATGATACCCTAACCCTAAATCCTAAACCCAAAACCCCAAACCAAGCATATCGGGTCGGCTAGCCCAGTCTTTCCCTTGTGGCCTTTTGGGTTCCAGGTCCCCCTTATCCAAAAGGTTACCTATATTAATGGGTTGAGGGTTTGGTGTTTGGGGTTTGGACCCGGCACCCTAAGCCCTCAACCCTCAACCCTCAACCCTAAACCCTCAACCCTATGGGGCTATGCCGGTAGGTTGCGACCTTCGACGACTGGGCAGACAGCATCGCACGTCCACTCTTTCAGGTGGCTTGCGCAGGTTTAAGAAAACACCCTGGGCCCTAGACCTAAACCCTGAACCCTGAACCCTAAACCCTAAACCCGAAACCCGAAACCCTCAACCCTAAACCCTAAACCCTAAACCCTAAACCCTAAACCCTTACCTCTTAATTAACCCCCACAACCCTAAGCCCTAGAAGCTTGTTGCTGGCTTGTGAAGGCTTGTAGGGAAGTAGTGGTTGATGGGCCCGACACCCTAAAGCCCCCAGCCCTCCGTTTAGAGTTCAGGGTTTAGGGTTTGGGTTTTGCGGTTCAGGGTTTAGGGTTGGGGGGGGGTGGGGCGGGGGCTGGGGGTGGGGGGGGGGTGGGGGGGAGGGTTAGTTTTCTATGGTCGGTGCGTTTACGCGGTGCGTCCTCCATGAAAAAGTTGTGCACCGACCCCCCACCGCCCCCCCCCCCCCCCCACTTGGGGTGTAAGGGAGGGGGAGCCCCCCTCCCCCAAGACCAACCCTAAACCCTAAACCCTAAGGCTGCGTTTAGCCGGGTTTGGGCTCCTGAACCCCTAATCGCTGCGAGCCCGAGCATCCCACTCAGGTGGCGCCCACAGCGGGTCCGGTTCTCTTCCTGCTCATCTTCGCCAGCGCCCGAGTTCCGGGTTTCTTTCTGGGGTTGAGGGTTTGGGTCATGCCTGAGGTTGGGTTATGCCTGAGGTTGGGTTTTGGGTTTAGGTTTTAGGGATTAGGGTTTAGACTTCAGGGACAGCCTGAGATTAGCGTGAGTCTAAATCCATCTAAACCAATCATTCTGAAAGGAGAGAGACTCTTTCTTTGCCTCGGGAGGGGTGAACCTTTAACTTTGACCAGCTTAGGATTTCATCATTTCGGTGTTGCTTTAAGATATTTGGGTTCGGGGTTTAGGGTTTACTCTAGATTATGGTGCTACAACGGCCTCGTATAAGCATAGTTGGTGAACTCATCACTTGTATAACCCTTGGAAGCGCTTAATCCTCAGACCCTAAACCCGAAACCCTAAAACCCTAAACCCTAAACCCGAACCCTAAACCCGAAACTCGAAACCCGAAACCCGAAACCCGAACTGGTCTTGGGCAATGGCTTGAGACCTCGACCCTAGACTCGCCGCAGCTCCCTTTAAGCCCCCCCCACCCGAAACCATACGTTCAGGGTTTAGGGTTTAGGGTTTAGGGTTTAGGGTTTAGGGTTTAGGGTACTTGGAGGTTCATGGTACTTAGTAACCCAATTAGGACTGTACTCATAACCCAACTATAACCCTACTAGGGTACTCAAGGGGCTTATAGGTTGTACACTTATAATGGGCTACTAATTACTTGGTGCCCTGAACCTCCAAGTAGGACCAGTGCGGGCCTGAATATCATTTCTTGTGTAGGGGGTTGGGGGCTCAGGGTTGTTTTTAGCTCTTTTGTTTAGGGGTCTAGGGCTTAGCTATTCTGATTATTGTTTTTATTTTATTTTTTTTTTTTTTTTTTTTTTGGGGGGGGGGGGGTTGAGAGCTTAGGGAACGAAACCTGGATGCCCTGAACCATGACCGCTTCAGGGTTTGGGTTTAATGACGGTTTTGTCCTGTGAATTGGATGCGGATTTGGATGCTCGTCTTTGGGCGATAAATGTGGCTGCTGTGCTGGAGGTCTTGGCGGTTAGGACCATCTTTAGCTTAAATGATGTAGAGTTTGTTCATATCACTGTTCTGGTGAGTGATGTATCCTTATTTTTTCCGTCTGACTATTGGGAATGGTCTGGCGTAATCCATCTGCCGGTAGACACTTTGCCGTCTTGCAGGGCTGCCAAGTGCGGCGGGTTTGACACTGAGAGCTGCTGCTGGCTGTTTAGGGTTTAGGGTTTAGGGTTTAGGGTTTAGGGTTTAGGGTTTAGGGTTTAGGGTTTCCTGCTGCAAGGGCATCTGGTGATGCGGCAGCTGGAGTGGGAGTGCTGCATTTGCCTGACACGGGTATCTGATCAGGCCAGTATCTGCAGCTCCCCCGGCCTCTTGAAGGGAATTCCAAGAAGGAGGCGTTTAAACATCGCAAGGCAAGCTACAGCGATGTTTGACTCATCAAGTTTAAAGCCTTTTTTCAACTAAACCCCGAACTAACCCTACATACTAAACCGTAACCCGACACCCTAAACTTGAAACCCTAAACCCTAAACCCTAAACCCTAAACCCTAAACCCTAAACCCTAAACCTAAACCCTAAACCCTAAACCCTAAACCCCAAGCCCTAAACCCTAAACCCTAAACCACCAGGCCTAAACCATCGCGTGCGCAGGTCGTCAGCTTCGGCACCCTCAACATCTTGGTGGCGGTGCCTCGGCTGAAGCCGTACGCCCCAGAAGTACGAAAACGTTCAGGGTTTAGGGTTTAGGGTTTAGGGTTAAGATAAATCAAAGGCCTCCGTTAGAAATCTCTGCGTGCCTCGCACATGGATCGTCCGCAGGACCACTTGCATAGACCTCCAAACCCCTAAACCCCAAACCCCCTAAACCCCTAATCCCCTAAACCCCTAAACCCATACGGCACAGGGAGTTACAGGGTTTGGGGTCCAGGCTTGTAGGGTTTACGTTTGGGGGGTTTGAAGGATTTGGGGTCTTTGTGGGAAATTGCGGCCTAGGAAGCCCAGCCTAAGGCTTCAGCGACGGCTTAGGGGTCTCGAATCTTCCTTAGGGTTTATGGTTTAGGGTTTAGAGTTTAGGCTTTAGGGTTTAGGGTTTAGGCTTTAGGGTTTAGGGTTTAGGGTAATTAAGTTTTAAGTTTTTCAAGCTGCGACGACCACCTGTAGTTGCGGTTTCCCACAGAACAGGGTACTGGGGGGTGGGGGTGGTCCTTGTGAAAGGGGGAATATGCTGGATTTCGGGTATGCGCGGGATCCCCCTTATTTGGGAAGTACCCAGTTTGCGCCTGAAGTGCGGAGTGGGGAACCTTTAATACGCTGCCTTTCGTACTACTTCCCCACTTTGAATGCTAAAAAATGTGGGAACACACACGCACACAAAAAAAACCCAACCATTCGGGAATGTGCGGCTTGAGACTGTTGAAAGAGTTGTTGCTAGACGGTGTGATGATGTCCTATATCGTTTCTACCATTCCGGCTGCTGCGGCTACTCCTGGTCCCTGTAACTCGGTTCGCCAAATGTCGGCAATGCTTGCGCACGTGCCGGGTGCTATCATAAAGGCCGCTCTTCTCTTAAGAAATTGCAGGTGATGGTCGAGCGGATATCGGTCATCACCGCAGACAACCGACTGCGTGCTGAACAGGTGGCTCGGTTGGTTTCGGCTGCCTGGCAGGGGCTCTTCGGTAGTTGAAGCAGTGTCAAATTCCACAAATCCCGCACGCCCAGAGTGCCAGGGCTCGGGACCCTGTATCTAGAATATGTCAGGTGGGTAGGTGAAGAACTTGTGTTATATGTGCCCGAAGCTTACTTTGCCTTGGTTTGTGTAAGGGACCCTTCTCCTTGGAGCGCAAAGCCCTGTAAACCCACGAAGCATCACTAAGCCCTGCAACACGCGCTCTATGACCCCTAATCCCCAAAGCCCTATACACGATAACCCTAAGCACCTCAAACTCCTTATTATCTTCCTCAGTCTCCCCTACACCCTAAGCCCTAGACCCTATTGAATTTAGGGTTTAGGGTATAGGGCTTAGGGTTCAGGGTTTAGACAAACAGCCCTAAACCCTAAACCCACGTCTCCTTGCTAAGTCCCGGAAGCACATGGAAGCCGCGACTTGGCAAAGCTTTCGTGCTTGATGTTGCTTGTTGTTCCTGGTTTAGGGTTTAGGGTTTAGGGTTTAGGGTTTAGGGTTTAGGGTTTAGGGTTTAGGGTTTAGGGTTTAGGGTTCAGGGTTTAGGGTTTAGGGTTGGCCAAATGGTACCCTTGTGCCCTTTGTGTGGATCTATGTTCCTTTAATTACAGTATGTCACGGGTCCCTAAGCCGTAAACCCTAAACCCTAAACCCCAAAAGCAAGTAGGGATTCAGGGTTCGGGTCGTTTCTAGCTTTTGGCTTCTTGGGCAGAGCGGAAATGACGGCTCATTGGCTTTGGCGCTGTTGAAGGTGTCCAAGTTTGGGCAGCACCCAGCGGTCCACCAAACCATCTGAAACAGCCCTAAACCCTAAATCCTAAACCCGTCTCACACCCACGTTTAGGGTGAGGTGCCCGACCCACGAAACATTGGAACGACAACGATTGGCATTCTTACTTTTGCCCTATAGCTATTATATATGTCCTAAAGACCCGGACCACCTTTAAGAAAGCCTTACAGCCTTAAAGCCTTCAAGCCTTCAAACCTGCAAACCTTGAAGCCTTCAACTCCTGTGTTGGGGCGGGGGCGGGGGGACTTGGTAGGTAGTTTAGGTGAGGCGAAGGGCATCCCCGTGCGCTTCATTCGATCAATCTGCTGCTGCTCAAAACCTCTGAAGCCATTTAGGGTTTAGGGATTACGTAAGGTTTAGGGTTTAGGGTTTAGGGTTTAGGGTTTAGGGTTTAGGGTTTAGGGTTTAGGGTTTAGGGTTTTAGGGTGTAGGGTTTAGGGTTTAGGGTTTAGGGTTTAGGGTTTAGGGTTTAGGGTTTAGGGTCATTGAAGCTCTACGTGGTCGCGACCTGTTGGCCACCCGAATTCCAAGCAGAGACCTGACAAACATGGTCTGGGGTTTGGGGCTGGGTAGGCCTGGGGATATTACACATTTGTCCTTCGTAGGCTCAGGGCCGGAGAATTTTGGAGAGGGCTTTAGTGGCCATGCTCGTTATCTAAGGGTAGTTATCTGGGCCCATAGTATGGTCCCTGACCTCCTTCTTAGGGTTTAGGGTTTAGGGGTTTAATTAGGGTTTAGGGTTTAGGGTTTAGGGTCTAGGGTTTAGGGTTATAAGGGGTCTACAAGGGGTTCCCTTTTACGGGCCCATACTAACGGACCATGTAGCTACCTTGGGATTTCCCCCCTCATACGAACAGTCCTTAATTAGTAGGAATTCTATTAGGGGGTGCGATAATCCTTATGAAGGACTGTTAGTACCTGTTGGTATAAGAGGGAACATCCCAATAGCTACCCTAAACCCTAAACCCTAAACCCTAAACCCTAAACCCTAAACCCTAAACCCTAAACCCTAAACCCTAAACCCTAAACCCTAAGCGGTTAAGCACAAGTGCCCAGATTCTTCTGGAGTCCGTGGTGGAAGAGCTCCATGCCAACGACCGCGACGGAAGTGGGGACTTGTCCTCTAGCTGATTTTGGGGTTTAGGGTTGAGGGTTTTGGGGTTTAGGGTTTAGGGTTGAGGGTTTGGGGTTTAGAGTTTTAGGGTTTTTGGGGTTTGGTTCAGGGTTAGGGTTTTGGGCTCAGGGTCTGAAAGACCTTATACCTGGTCAATATAATATGCCCACCCCTTGCCTCATACGTAGAGTGTACGGTGGGGTAAGGACGCACGCCGGCAAGGCGCCTTAAGGGCTGCAGCTCACTGTGCACAGGGTTTAGGGATTTACGGGTTTAGGGCTTTTGAGTTTTAAGGTTTTCGGGTGTAGGGTTTAAGGGTTTCGGGTTTGGGGTACAAGACAAACAGAGGAACCCTGCAGCCTAAAGCATAGGACACATGCCAGCAATATGTTTCATTGAGTAGAACCAACCGTGTAAGGGGTGCTGCTATGAACATCGCAGTCCCTACGCCCGAAGCCCCAAACCCTAAACCCTTAACCCTAATCCCTAAACCCTAAACCCGTGATTTTGCTTCTCAAAATTCACGGCTGAAGTGCGAAGGGCTCAAGAACTGTCTGGTTGGTACCTCAGTGTAGGTAAGCATAGGCACCTTAAACCCTGAGGGATCCTAGGGTAGTTGCATGGCCCCTTAGTATGGGCCCTTAAAACCTTCGAAGGGATTTCTCATCAACCCTCGCCCCAACCCTAAATCCTGAGCCTCGGACAGCATGGGAGGGGGAGGGGGGGGGGGGGGGGGGTGGGGAAGAATTCATATTGCGTACATGCTCAAAGCACTGGTACTTACAGTGTTTTCGCCTCTTTGTACAACATCCTGCACAAGGATGACCTTTCGCAACCATGCCCAAAACACTGGCATTTGCAGCGTTTTATGCCCAAAACATTGGTATTTACAGCGTTACCCTGTAAGCTAAACCCTCAACATAAAAGCCCATGACCCAGGCTTCAAATCCCACAAAATATATATATATATATATATTAATATATATATATATATATATTTGAAAAGCTACTACGTAGTCTGAAAGCCTGGCGCCCCAAATAGACATAGTTTTCCCAAAGTGCTTAAACACCCACCCCTGCCGATGTTTTCTGCATGTCCTGACTTGCGCACATGCCTTCCGTACCACGCGAGGGAACGCGCCCCGAACCGCGTAGTTGGATTTAGGGTTTAGGGTTCAGGGTTTAGTTTAGGGCTTAGGGCTTCGGGTTTCGGGTTTAGGGTTTGGAGTTTGTTGAAGCCAAGGTCACTTAAGGAGTTCAAGAAGATGATCAGGCCTGCTTGTTCCCGATTGAGGGCCTTGGCTAGACTCGACAGGTTACGACTCGTACCTAGAAGGACCCTTGATTTTATTCCACAATCTAACCCCTTTCTCTGCCTTACATAGTTCCCCTTAGTTGCCCCACTGTAACCCCTAAACAACCCCCAAGGTCCCTTGTAAGGGTCCCTTCCTCCTGTAGTCCCTAAGGTTGCCCACTATTATACTCCATTGCGGCCCCCTTATACCCTATACCCTAAACCCTAAACCCTAAACCCTAAACCCTAAACCTCAAACCCTAAACCCTAAACCCTAAACCCCAAACCCTAACCCCCTTACGTTTCCTTGGGAATCTGACAAAACGGTCCCCAAACCCAAGGGTACCACCTTGGGGGTCCAAGGTAAAGTCCCTTGACTAGACGGGTTTTGGGGTTTAGGGTTTAGGGTTTAGGGTCATGGTTGATGCCATGCAGCAATGTGAGATGCCACCCTGCCTGTTGTTCGGACTTGCGTTTCCTTCTTACCACTAAGAAGCCTTTCCACCCTAAACCCTAAGCCCTAAACCCTAAACCCTTGATAGGTTCTGGGCAAATCGATTTGTTGACTCCCTCTCGAGAGAAACCCTGAACGCCACAAGCCCTAAACCCTAAACCCGAGACTTACTGAATCTAGCGTTCGGGTTTCACATGAGACTCGCGACTAAGAGCATCAGGTGCACAAAAAGAAAGCTACACCCCTACACCACACAAGCCCCTCAAACCCCAAAACCCTAGAACCCTACCCCCAAAACCCCAAAAACCCAAAACCCCCCAAAACCCTGGAAACCTAATCCCAAAACCCCCAAAACCCTACCCCAAAAGCCCCCACATCCTAGAACCCTAGCCCCCCAAACCCCCCCAAACCCAAACCCCCCCAAACCCCCCCAAACCCCCCCCCCAAATCCCCCCAAACCCCCCTAAACCCCCCCAACCCCCCACCACCCCAAACCCCCCAAACCCCCCCACACCCCCCAGACCCCCCCAAACCCCCCCAACCCCCCCAAACCCCCCAAACCCCCCCAAACCCCCCCACCCCCCCAAACCCCCCCAAAAACCCCCCCAAACCCCCCCAAACCCCCCCCCCAACCCCCCCAACCCCCCCAAACCCCTCCGCCAAACCCCCCCAAACCCCCCCAAACCCCCCCAAACCCCCCAAACCCCCCCAAACCCCCCCCAAAACCCCCCCCCAAACCCCCCAAACCCCCCCCAACCCCCCCAAACCCCCAACCCCCCCCCCCCCAAACCCCCCCAAACCCTAGACCCTAACCCCAACACCCCCAAAACCCCCGACCCTAACCCCAAAACCCTAGAACCCTGACCCTAAACTGGGACCGGGAGTAGGCTCTGGTTTCCTTTTTTTAGGGTTGGGGTTCCCTTATAATCCCCTTACAACCCCAACAAGGGTACCCTTTTTATTCCCAGGTTACTCCCAGGTCTAGTTTAGGGTTTAGGGTTTAGGGTTTAGGGTTTAGGGTTTAGGGTTTAGGGTTTAGGGTTTAGGGTTTAGTGTTTGTCCAGGATACCATCGCTGATCAAGAAGCTAGGCCTGGCGTCGTCTGCGCTTCGACAACCTCTACCCCTGAACCCTAAACTCTTGAGGAGGGTTTAGGGTTTAGGGTTTAGGGTTAGGGTGTAAGGTGTAAGGTGCAGGGTGTAGGGTGTAGGGTGTAGGGTTGAAAACCAGGCTCTACACTCCTTAGGGCTTATTTCAGGCTTAAAGTTTAGGTGTTCCCATAGACCTAAGTACCCCCCATGTAGCCCCTTGAGGTCCCTTATAAGGGTCCCTTGGCTTCTAGACAGTACCGGTGCAAGACCCTAAACCCTGAACCCTTAACCCTAAACCCTAGAGTGGCCCTTATTCCCCTTGCGCACTTCGGAGACTCGGGTTCATCTTCTCGCTAATCTGTGGTTGATAGCAGAGGCGCGTGCCTGGCTGCCATCCTTATTCGGTTTCCTGGGGATGGTCAGCGTTTGGGGTGCAACGTCTGAACTGCTCATCGCATCATCTCCTTGCCAAGCACGTGCTGATGTTCCCGAACACTCGTGACAACTCCTGGTTTCGGTTTTTGTGCCGCCCTCATAAGTAGCGGTTGGCTTAGTGATTCTTGGTTTCATCCTGTTGCCTGTGCCGCCCTCAGAAGTAGTGGTCGGCGGGCACCCATTCCCGAAGTACCTACTTCGAGTCTGTTTTATTAGTACTCGTAGTAGTAGGTAGTAGCAGCAGTGGCAGTGGCATCAGCTATGTGCCTCAACCTTAAACCCCTGAATTCAGGAACTCCTGGCCGGCTGCCGGGTAGTACCCAGAAGGGTTTAGGGAACCCTCTGGTGTAGGGTTGAGGGGCATATGAGGCATGCAAATTTTCTGAGTTGTGCCCTAGCCCCCTTTTTTTAATTGGGGGGGGGGGGGTGTGGGGGGGTGGGTTCATGCTCCATGAGAACACTTAAAACCCCTTTTTCTGGACTCTACAGCCCTCAAAGCCCATACAGCCCGGGCCTTTACCCCCCCGAAGCCCCTAAACTACCCTAAACCCTACACCTTAAACCCTGAGAACCTTTCACCCTGAGCCCTCCAAGCCCTAAAACCCTGCACCCTGAACCCCAAACAAACCTTCAACCCGAAGCCCCTAAACCCTAAACGCCTCAACCCTACACCCGAAACCCCCAAAAAGCCTTCAACCCTATGCCCTAAACCCCCAAGCCCCTGAAGGCCTTCTGGGCATCGGCATCGAGGAAGCGGAGAGTCTCTTCGAAATCATGGATGTGAATCACAGAACCTCGCGCTAAAAGATGCAGGGTCTCAGGCCCCCATGAGTGTTAGGGTTTAGGGTTTAGGGTTTAGGGTTTAGGGTTTAGGGTTTAGGGTTTAGGGTTTAGGGTTTAGGGTTTAGGGTTTAGGGTTTTAGGGTGCAGGGTGCAGGGTTGAGGGTTTAGGGAATGTTCATCGCAGATTGGGCTTAGCTTCTTCTGAAGGGCTTTGCCTTTCGCATCCGGATTTCCTTTAGCTGGCTGCTTCAAGCTGAACGAGGCTACATAAACCCTATAAACCCTAAGCCGTAAGCCCTAACCCTAAACCCTATAGCCCTAAACCCTAAACCCCAAACCTCCCAGGCGGCTGCGTCACGCCAGAGGAGTTCATCGCGGGCCTGCAGAAGGCCCCCGTTCAGATGTCGGGGTCTGATGTAAACCCTGTTTAGGGTTTAGGGTTTAGGGTTGTACTAGGATGCCCAGTAGTACCCTTATTCCCTTTTTGGGGGGGTTTAGGTTCCCTTATAAACCCTTCAAGCAAAAAAGGGCACGCTTTTTAAGGCTAGGTTACTGGGCAGCCTAGTGCAAACCCTTAAGGCTTAGGACTTCTTTGGACTTAGCGGCTTAGGGTTCAGGGTATAGGGTTTAGGTTCGTAGGGCGTATAGGGCCTGTAGGGTTTGTAGGGTTTAAAGAGTGTATAGGCTTGGTAAGGGCTTGCAGGGTTTAGAGAGGTTGTAGGGTTCGCAGGGTTTACAAAGTTTGTGAGGCTTTTTGGTCTTGTAGGGTTTGTAGGGTTTCAGGGCTTGCAGTTTTCATAAGGTTTACATGGTTCATAGGGCTTAGGGCCTTCGGTGGGCTTGTAGGCCCTAAACCATGAACCTTAGACCCTGAACCCTGAAGCCTTAACCCCACACACCGCATGCGGACCCGTGTGGGGCTTTGGGGTCTATGACTTGGGTTTTGGCGTTGGCCTCTAGGCCATAAGGTTCATGCTGCACCCTCTTCAATGTACCGGCTACATCACAAGTTCCTCAGGACTATTCTGCACTAAACCCTAAACCCTAAACCCTAAACCCTAAACCCTAAACCCTAAACCCACTGCACTTTACATCTTTGTTGGGGTAGATTAGGGCAGCTGCAGTGTGAGGCATTTTTTCGCTTTTGTTGAGGGGATTTACGGGGTTTAGGGTTCAGGCTTTAGGGTTTAGGCTGTTTAGGGCTTGGGGTTGAGGGTGCCCAATACTCAGGTACAGAGCTCTCTCGGCCGCCTAAAAGCTTCAGGTTTGCAGGGTTTAGGGTTCAGGGTTCCGGGGCTTCAGCCAGGCCTTTTGGCCATGGAGGTTTCAGGGCTTAAGGCCCTTGGCTTCAGCCCAGGTTCTCCCCCCTAAATTTGTGTGTGGGGGGGGGGGGGGGGGTGGGATGTGGTTTAGGGTTTAGGATTTAGGGTTTAGGATTTTGGCTTGGGGGCAACTTTTGGAGAGTCCCCTTACAAAAGCCCCCGTACTAAAGCCAGTGCAACGTCACCTAGAAACCCTACGAAAGCCTTACAAGTTTGCTTGATTCCCCCCCCCCCCCCCAATTTGAGACGGCCCCCAACCTTGAATAACCCTAAACCCTAAACTGTTTTGCGGTTCAGGGTTTACTCTGCCCCTAAACCCTAAACCCTAAACCCTAAACCCAACACCCTAAACCCTAAACCCTAAACCCTACTAAACTGATTTCTGAGGCCCTTTGCCTTTACACGTAGGAGTTGAATCCAGCTGGGATTCCGAACATTGAAAAGCCAGAGTTTCCCAAGCATCGAGGGGGGTCAGGGTCCCTGTTTGGGTTCAGGGTTCAGGGTTCAGGGTTGAGGGTTTAGGGTTCAGGGTTTAGGGTTTAGGGTTTAGGGTTTAGGGTGTAGGGTGTAGAGTTTAGGGTTTAGGGTTTAGGGTTTAGGGTTTAGGGTTTAGGGTTTAGGGTTTAGGCGGTTTGGGGCTCAGCAAGCAAGCCTACCCTTCCGATCCGCAGGTTTTGTTGCACAAGCCCGAAACCTGCGTCTTAAACCCTGAACCCTAGACCCTAAACCCTGAACCCTAGACCCTAAACCCTGAACCCTAAACCCTAAACCCTGAACGGCTTTCCCGATCAGGTTAAGGGCGCGGCCAAAGGAGCTGGCGGGAAGGGATTGCGGAGTTTTCTGGGGCGGGTTTAGGGTTCAGGGTTCAGGGTTTAGGGCTCAGGCTGAGTCGTTTGGGTTTCGAAGCTTGGGCTTAGGCTTGTCGATGATTGCAGGGTTTTGGGGATTGAGGTTTAGCACTGAGGCTTTCGGGGGCAGTGATTTACTGGAGACCATGTCCAGTCTCTCCCCGCACGCCGCCCCCAGGACATGTCATCGACCCAAGCCCTAAACCCTAAACCCGAAGCCCTTGCACAAAAACCCACAGCAGACCCAGTGGAAGCCCAATCTGACAACCTATTCGCGGACATCCCATGGACCCAAACCCAGAGACCCCTAAACCTTCAACCCTAAACCCTAAACCCTAAACCCCAAACCCCAAACCCTAATCCCTAAACCCAGACCCTAGACCCTAAACTCTAAACCCTAAACCGAACCTGTAACTGTTGCAGGCAACCGCGAGCCCTTAAGGTGAGAAAAGGAAGTGGGTCTTCTCTAATACAACCATGATAGGAATATGGTTTAGGGATAAGAGAATGCCCTAGTACCTAGATGTGCTAGTAGATAGTTACAGCCTGTAGCAACTTGAGGATGATAATCTCATACTTTGATGTCTCAGCCCATCAGTCAACGAGTATCTTGCCTTCTCTGATACCAACACCATTGCATTCACTACTTGGGTATGTTTTGTGCTTTCAGCTTCAACCCTCCCCCCGCTTTTGACCCATTTTTCCCATGCACTCCGCAATGGTCATGAAAGCTGGCCTGGCACTTGCCCTATTCTTCTGGATACCGAGGACGGCAGATCGGTCGTTCCTTTCAGCCCCCCCAGACAGTTGGCACATTCCTGCGAGAGGTCAGTCACGTTTCGTGCTCCCGCAGCTTCAATGTGTCACTTCTGCATTCTCAACAAGCTCTGGACATGTTCAAACGTCCGGCACTTGCTACAGCAACGGTGTACGGAGGAAGAGAGGTGTGTTGGCCTGCAGTGTATTCCGCGGACATGGGCAGTGTGATTTGCCTGCAGGTTTGACAATTGCAGCGGGTTTTTATCATACCTGTTCAGTGCAGGCAGATGGTGAGCTCGTGTGCTTTGGAGACAACAGACTTGGGCAGTGTGACGTGCCAGCAGATTTGGGACCAGTGTTGGCAGTTTCCGCCGGCGAGCTTCATACTTGTGCAGTACGGAGAAATGGTCAGCTCGTGTGTTTTGGAGACAACAGACTTGGGCAGTGTGATGTGCCAGCAGATCTGGGACCAGTTGTGACAATTTCCGTCGGCGAGCTTCATACTTGTGCAGTGCGGAGAAATGGTCAGGTCGTGTGTTTTGGAGACAACAGATTTGGGCAGTGCGATGTACCAGCAGATTTGGGACCAGTTGTGACACTATCCGTCGGCGAGCTTCATACTTGTGCAGTGCGGAGCAATGGTCAGCTTGTGTGCTTTGGAGACAACAGATTTGGGCAGTGCGATGTGCCAGCAGATTTAGGACCAGTTTTGACAATTTCCGTCGGCGAGCTTCATACTTGTGCAGTGCGGACGAATGGTCAGCTTGTGTGCTTTGGAGACAACAGATTTGGGCAGTGCGATGTGCCAGCAGATTTGGGACCAGTTTTGACAATTTCCGTCGGCGAGCTTCATACTTGTGCAGTGCGGACGAATGGTCAGATCGTGTGCTTTGGAAACAACAGATCTGGGAAGTGTAATGTGCCAGCAGATTTAGGACCAGTTTTGGCAGTTTCCGCCGGCAAGCTTCATACTTGTGCAGTGCGGACGAATGGTCAGCTCGTGTGCTTTGGAGACAACAGACTTGGGCAGTGCCATGTGCCAGGATTCTCGGAACCAGTTTGAACATGCTTGCACCGTGTGGGAAGATGCTCAGCCCGTCTGCCTTGGAAACCACGACGATGGACTGACGTGCAGAGGACGGGGGACCACTTTTGGCAACCTAAACGGGGCGATTATCATACCTTGTTTTAGTGCGGTCTGGTGCTCAGCTCGGCTGCTTTGCTGCCAGAGTGCGTTGTGCGAGTAGAATTGGGAACCAGCTGTGGCAGTCCGAGTGGGCGATTTCATACCAGCGCAGTGCAGCTGCAGATGCTGAGCTCATTTGCTCATGTCCTCGAACTCAAAGACTGCGCTGTGCCCAGCTGCTGATCATGCAGAAAAGCACTACTGAGTGCGCACGTGACTTGCAGCACTGCAAAATCGCGTCACTTGCCAGCCTTTGCGACTCCACATGCCCTGGGCCTGAAGACAAAACACCCGCCCGGAAAGCCTACAACAATCTTGAATCACCAGCGCCGGCACAGCGGCCGCACAATCCTCAAATCGCAAATGCTGCCTAGTATGACCTTCAACTTTATTTATAAGTCTGACTAATGTGTCTTCAGTTCTTTCTACTGTACAAATGTTCTGCGACCAGTTGCTTAGGGTGCTCTCTGTCTGTCATTTGGGCTTCTTTTCGAAATACTTCAACCTCATCCCCAACATCTGGCACTGATAGGGTTAAACATTGTGTTTTTGAAGCAGGGCCCGAACTACCCATGAACGGAACTGGATTTGCTACTACGCGAACCACCTATCGGCAAGTTTGAAAATAGCTCGGTTGGTTCAAAGTCAGGTGAACTGGATGAATTTGATACAGGCTCGTTTCTTCTCCTCGCTCCACTATCAATCATTACGCGCCCCTCCTCCCTTGACGTTCCTCTTCAGCCCATGTTTTTGGTGAGATCACCCCCACCTGTTTAAAGAGGGGGCTAATTAGCCAGGCACTAGGTAGGCATTTCACGACGTGCTACACGTTAGCACGCCACGTTGCACGGATTGCCACGTTAGCGTGATTCATTTCACTTGCTCCCACGTGTAACATTTCCCGAGCGGCACGTGTTATAGCAGAAACGATCATTCCGAAATCGATGCTGGCACGTGTAACAGCTGGCGTGAAATCTTGTCGTTGTTGACATGGGCTGTGTGACGTCTACGGCAGGCCCAAGTGGAGAGCAGGAGTTGTGAACAGAAGTTCCAGAGCTGCGAAACACATGAGCAGACAAGACCCATGAGGGATTTCCAGTGCCTGAGCATCTTCTTGTTTGAGGGTCGAGGCCATGGGGCGCCGCGGCTTTGACAATCGCAACAACAAGCATGTCATGGAGCTGCTCGTCCCAAGTCACCTCGTGCTGCTGCAGCCTGGGGAATCCAAGAGGATCAACTTGCACTACGGCGGCCACGAGAGCTTTGAGGTCCCAGGAACGGCGAAGTGCGGGCGATACAAGTGCAGGCATTGCCCGGCCTTTTTCAGCGGTGATGCACGCAGGGCTGCTCGGCATTATCTGCCCACGGGACTTCCCAAGAGCTTCTTGGTTGCATGTTTTAGGGGCTTGAAACAGTCGAGTGATCAAGTTTGGGGGGTTCAGTCTGCCGTTAGCAAAGAGTTTGTCTGAGCAGTGCGCAATGGTTCTGGAACTGGGTTTCGGAGTGTTGAAACTGCTTCTGGAAGAGGTTGTACAGTTTTCAAGTCTCTAGAGATGTCAATATCGGTCTCGTCTTGGAAAACGCTCCTATGAACGTGATTTGGAGTGTTGAAATTGCCCATAGACTTGGGTTCAGTAGGTGTCCAGCCCAGTTGGTTTCGGGGTCTCAGAAAGGGATTTGGGCGCCGAAGCTGATCAGGAATCGGTGTTGTGAGGTGTCCAAACTGCTTGCAGTAGTGGGCTTTGGAATGACTTTGGGGGGTTCCAAACTGAGATTTCAGCTTGCTCTCCAGTTAGAGGGACTGCTTGGCCGCTGACTCATGCAGGCTTTTGGTCCAGTGGCGATGCTGCCGGGGTGTCGCTCTGCACAGCTCCGCCGCTCAATCTTGTGGGGCAGCTGGCGGATCTCAACTGTGTCGAGCACCTGAAGGCCGGTGACAAAAGAACGTTTGGTGACATGTCATCACAAGAGCTTCCCTTCTTGATACTCTTGCGGCTTCGGGTAGTTTGTCCGAGTCTGTCCGAAGTCTGTCCGAAGTCTGTCCGAAGTCTGTCCGAAGTCTGTCCAGGCCCGGGCGTTCTTGGCTGGCGACGATGTGTCCAACATGGGCACCATGACGGATGCTCCCCCGAGGAAAAAGAAGGGTGATGCTGCCGAGCAAAACTGGGACATCTTGTCGGCTTCACTCACTGATCCCAGCCGTTACCGAGTGGATGCGGCCAACAAGAAGGACGTGTCTCGCCTCCTGGCTGTTGCTTTCAGCACGGGCGGTGTTCCGAGTAACTTTGCGGAGAACTACCACTTCAAGTTGGCCATGAAGACTTTGCAGGAGATGCTTGTGGGCTCTGCGCCATGGAAACCACCTGGACGCAAGGATCTCGCCAAGATGCGCCCGCTGGAGTCTGCTGCAGCAGTCCACGACACGTCTGTTTGGATGGCTTCCGTTCGACACTTGACTTTGGCCGTCGATGGCCGCAAGATGGCCGAGGGCAGGTTCAAGGAGTCGATGCTGAACACTGCTGTGGCGCTCTCAGTTGCTGGCCTTGAAGCGCAGTTTTGGCTGCTTGAACTTACCTGGAAGGCAGTTTGGGCTACCTAAAACTTGTTTTTGAGGTTTCCAAAGCACTCCGGGCCGCTCTTGCCCCAGAAAACTGCTGCAAGCGACACAGGGTCCAGCTATATGTTGTGTGTCTTCGCCCCAAATGCAGTTTGGGCTGCCTAAAACTTGGTTTTGAGGTTTGCGGAACACTCAGGGCGGCTCCTGCTGCCTGCTATTGCTTGAATGGGTCCAGCTAGTGCTTCAGCTTCTGTGTGTTCACCCCAAATGCAGTTTGGGCCCCCTAAAACTTGTTTTTGAGGTTTCCCAAACAATCAGGGCAGCTCCTGCCGCAGAAAATTGCTTCCAGCTGAATACTGTTTTTGGGAATTGAAACAACGTTTTGCATCCTTGAAACGGTTGCCAGCCACTCGGGCCGGCTCCTGCCATGAAGCCTGCCCACATGAAACCTACAATTTTGC